CGTATCCCCCTAAGTCAATCTTTCCACCCTCTGCTTCTGCCCCTGCTCAGCATCCTCTGCCTGAACTCCTTGGGCCCCATTACAGGACATCATGGCTGCCTCCTCCCAAATTGGCAGGCAGAGTCTGGCTCAGAGCTGGCAGTGATTATCTGGGAAAAAAAAAAAAAAGTGTGTAAATATACGCTCCAAGGCCTTCTCTTTGGGCTCTGTGGTCCCACAGTGAAACCTCCTGGACACTGAGGCTCAGGGACAGGTGTATGGACCAGGCCAGTTCCCAAGAAGACTGAGGTACTTGGCTGCCAGCCTTGATGTCACCTGGACCCTGGATGTTGCCTGGGCCCTGCCTGCAACATGGACTGGCCTCCTGCTTCCTTGCTTTTGCACCCTGGCCCTACCTACTTGGGTCCTAGCTCTAGGAATGGGGTGCTGCTGTCTCCCCAGCTCTTCTGCCCTCACCTCCACTTCCCTTGGAGCTCTACTTCCCACTGCCAGGCCTCCCAGTGCAGTCTGTGCAAGGGGCAGGGGTCCATGGTGAGGGAAGCAATGACAGAGATGGGGTCTCCGTCACTGGCCAGCTCCTCACAACCAGCCACCCTCCCTTTCCTTCCCCTGCTGGGACTATGTTCTTTGCATTCCTCAGCACCAGCCTTTCAGGCTAGTCTCTTTCCTTGTTTCTCATCCATTTGCCCGTCTAGGCTGTAAGTGCCAGAAGGCAGGGCAGGGGCTGGGGCAATTTTGTCCTCTTCATTATCCAATGTCCTTTGGCCAGAGCCTGGGACATGGTAGGCACACACTAAATGTCTGATGTAACCCATGAATGAACACAAGGACCTCCCAGTTACCAGAGGGGCATGACGGGGAGGAAGGGCAGCACATACTGAGCTTCGGTCACAGGGTGGCCATGGTCAGGATGCAGGAGGCAACAGGGAGGATGGGAACAGAGGCGGACATGGTGGAAGAGGACTCAGATACACACTGTCTCATTCACCCTCCTCTGTGCATCAGACACCTCCTGAGCAGCCCCTGTGTCTCAGGCCCTGAGACTGAGACCCTGCCCCTGCCCCAGAAGCTCCTCCTGACTCCTGGAAGTGGGGTGATAAGCTCCACAGTAGGACATGCAGTGACTCCCCCTGGGTCCCAGGCGGCTTGCACATTTTATTTCATTGAATGATTTCATGGGGGAAGTGTTACTCTTTCTTTCTGACAGGTGGAGAAATCAAGGCTCACACCTTCTGATGCCAAACTCTACGACTCCGCTCCAAAACTGGCTCCCCTTTGGGTTCTTTTACTTATTTTACTTATTTTGTTTATTTGTTTATTTATTTATGGAGATGGGGTTTCGCCACGTTGCCCAAGCTGGTCTCAAACTCCTGATCTCAAGTGATCCACCTGCCTCGGCCTCCCAAAGTGCTAGGATTACAGGTGTGAGTGACCGCACCCAGCCCCATTTGAGTTCTGGATCATTATTGCTTGTTGGCAGCTAAGTCCTGGGCAGAGCCTTGGGGACACAAACAGATGACAGGTGGTGCGGACGTGGTCGGAAGGAGCTCACAGCCAGGTGAGGAGACAGCCATGTGAGATGCCACAGAAGCACAGAAAGCGTGGGGCCTGAGGACCAGCCAGGAGCCCCAGGAGAGCAGGGCACTTTCTGTCTTTTTCATCACCTCAGGAGAAGCTGGGGTTTCATCATCGTGTTTGTAAGTTAGCGAATGAACAAATGAAGAATGAATGAATGGATGGTGGCATTGATAAATTCTGACAAGACACGTGAAGGAAGCACAGAAAAGCTAGCACCTTAAATATTAGTGTCCTTGCATTATTACTGTGTGATGTTGGACAAGCCCCTTGCCTTCTCTGGGCCTCAGTTTCCCCCTCTGTGAAACAAGTGATCCTGAAGTCTCATGGCAACTCACCCATTCTAAGCTCTTCCATATTGGGCAGGAAGAGGGGCTGAGACACCCCTGTTGGGCCCTGCACAGGTGCAGCTATTGGCCTGGGCTGCATCCAGGATTTAAGGGGGGACATGCACCTGCACCAGGATGGGTCAGGTGTGAGGGTGCACGACGTGAGCAGTAGGTCACCCACTGAGGCCAGGCTGACAAATTTTCAGTACAGTTCTCACACTCACCCCCTCCACTCCCGGAGGAAACAGATACTGTCTCCTTCAGAGGAAGCTTGCTCAGGACGTGGGGGATCTGACGGGCCCCTCAGGTGGGGAGGCAGAGGGACAGTGGCTCCAAGTGCCTGGAAGTCTGTCTCTGCTTACCCACGGCCACCCTTTGCTCAGGCTGGTCCTCTCTCCTGGAGTGTCTTCTGTCTTCCTAGGCAATGGGGGTGAGGAACTGGGACCACAAAGGCAAGTGGAACCCAACCTGTGTTCGAGACACACACAGTGACTGTGACAGGAGCAATAAGAAAAGCCAGTGTCTACTGAGCCCACTCCTGCAAGCCCTCCACTTCAATTACCTCTTTTATTCCCCCCAGCCCCCCAGAGAAGTAGATGAGTTGGTTAGGACTTTTTTGTTGGAGACTAAATTAAAGTGGTCAAACTAAAGAAGGAGTTAGTTCAGTGTTTCCAAGAACTGGGAAGGATAGAGATAAACCTGCTTCAGGCATGGCTGGATCCAGGGATTCAAATTAGATAATCAGATCTCCTTCTTTCTTAACGTCTTTTATTGTGCCAAGAGCGATCCAGCCCTGTCTACCTTTCTGGCTCATCCTCTCCATGGCCCCCATCCACTCATGTTGGCCTCCTCTTCCTTGGAAACTCCCTGGTCACTCCCACCACAGGCCCTGTCCCTGCTCCCTTTTACCACCTTATGGGACAGGCAAAAGAGGGGAGGCAGGAGTTGCAAGCTTGCGTCATCCCAAATGGGACTCCATAGCGGAGAAAGAGTTGCCGTCTCCCAGTAGCTGGAGACCAAACCCCAGACAGGGATTCCAATTGGCCTGATTGGGTCACATGCCCATTTCTTGGACCAGTCAGTTTCCAGAGATCTATGGATCTGTGATCAATGGATCTCTGATCTATGATTGGTCTGGCTGGGCGTTTAACTGTCTCTAAGGAGGGGAGGCAGGTTGTGGGCTGTTATCAGTAATCCTTTCTGAACCTCATGGCCTGGGGAGTGCAAAGAGCTCAGTTTCCTAAATGAAGGGTAAAGGTGGTACTACACACAGAGGAGGAAGGGATGACTAGGGAATAAAAACAGCATGTGTTGATTACAGTAGATGTTATTAATTCTACCTTACAAAGGAAGAAACTAAGTGTCAGAGAGAACCTAAACAACCCTAGCAGATTAGCAGACTGGGCACGCAACAGCCCTTCACTGTGACCACTAAGCTACAACACTTCCCAGGGACACAGGCCTCTGCAAGCACCTCCAGCAACCCCAGGCCTCAAATCCAACAGGTTTAAACTCATAATTCCATCCCAAACAGGACAATTCTTAAAGCTCAGGCTCTCAGCCCCCTGGAAGGCCCCAGAGCTTACAAACCTAATCATCATGATAGATTTAATCTGAAGTTCCTTTTTTCCCAGACCACAGTGAACTGAGCATGCTGCCCGTGGCAATTTCTTGTCAACTGAGCCATGCTGAGCATGAGTGCATCAAAGGGAACAGAGGCCAAGTAGGTGTTGCCAGGGGCGACAGCAGCCTGGAGGTGGCTGAAGTGTGAGCTGTCTGGCATGTGGGCATGTTTCCTGGTGAGGCACATAGCTCAGAGCGCTCAGAGGCAGCCAGAGCCTCCCTGGTCCCCACTTCCAGTCCCAGTTGGTCTTTAAGGGATGTTGCACAGCGCCTCACTACTAAGCCTCAGGCCAAACCCCTTCACTTTACTGACGAGAAAACAGAGCCCTGAGAGGCCCAGGCACTTGTTCAAGGTCAGAAAGTAAGTCAGAGGTGAAGAAAGAAGCGCGGAGGGAAGGCAGATTCGCTGCCAGGCACTGTGATGGGCGCTCTTACAAACTTTACTTAACTGAATCTTTGGGCAATTATGAGTCCCTTTTCATTCATGGGAAGAGTGACACTGCTTCTGAGTGTCACATAGCTGGGAAGCGACAGAGCAGGTTTGGAACTGATTGGTGCAGAAGCCAAGACCTGGCCCACTGTGCTGCTCATGTGTCCAGTTGTCTCTTTGCTCCCTCCCCACTGGAGAGCGCGCCTCTGTGCCAGGCTGAAGCCCTGACCGCTGCGATTCCACACTCCCTGGAGCGCCAGTTCCACCTAGCTTCAGACAATGGGAGGTGCTGGCAGAAGGTTGCAAGCCCGGAGAAGTGGGGAGAAGCTGCTATTCTCCTTTCTCTTCGCTCCTGGTGATGGAGGCTGCTGTGGCTCGTGGTTCTGGCAGCAGCAAGAACTTCTGTGATCTTGGCAACAGCCATGGCAGCCCCCTCTCGACCAGAGTCAACAGCAGTGGCCTGTCAGCCCTGGGTGGCAGCTGTCCCCGAGTCATCCCTGGGCTGCCATCCCTTCCCTTTCTGCTCCTTCAGCCCTCACCACCCTTCTATGGCCAGTGTCTACATTAGCCCTCCTCTGTATGTGATCATGTTGTAGGTTGGCTTCCTAAATGGACCCTGAATGGTGCAGCACGGAACACCGGGATTGTTCCTTGGAGATAAACCCTCAAAGATGGGATTCGGGATGGGCTAAATGGCTGATTCACAGCAATGACCTCACTGACACGGAGAAATGAGACACTGGTGGTCCATGGTATGCAGGGACATCAAAATTACCTAAATTACCACCTGTGTTTGCCTGGGATGAGATGTCAGTTGAAGGCAAGACTTTAGCAGACCAAGTGGCCACTGCACTTGACCACTAGAATCAATGCCTATGACATGGAGTGTGGGGTGGGATGGCGATTTCTGACTGTGTTGGAGAGTTTCTAGGAAAAAAAGTGACAAGCTCTGGGCTTTAAACTTTCAGATCAAAGTATCCTCAGAGAACTAGAGACATAGAAAAGACCTAAAGAAATGTCTTGCCTTTTGTAACCAGAGAAGATACAGCTAAAAATCAAGCCCCAAATTTAATCCACATTGCAATCCAGTTTCATGGATGGAAGAATTACAACATAAATTGAACTCACACCCTTGCCACATCCCTTATGTGAAATCAATAAGGTATTGATTGAAAAAGAGAGGGATCCCCAGATAGGAATAAGAGCTCAGATGAATCTGAGAACCTCAAACCCCCAGCTCCCCACAAGCCTCCTTTGAATCTGTGTCCCTATTGAGGCAACCAACCTCCCCTTGCCTGAAGATTCTATAAAATTAAAAGATACTGAGGTGGTGAGTCTGTGAGTTCTATCACACTTTGTACATTTCCATTTAATTTGCCTGTGTCCTGTGCAGAAAGGCAGATTGATCTTGGAGAGAGATCACGAGTTATTATAGACTTGCTCAGGTGGTGGCACCTGCTATTCCAGATGTCACATCTCTCCTGGAGGATAAAATCAGCACAGCTCCTGGAACTACATGCAGCTATTGTTCTGGCAACTACCAGAAGGAGTTCACTGTAACTCACAGCAGGGACAACAGGATATCCTGTCGTACTTCAGAGCTGTGTCAACTCTCCTGCTAGGACATAATCTAAACTGAAGGAACTTGGTGACTTAGGACATCATGGACATCATGCTGGTTCGCCAGACTGATGACATCATGCAGAATGCACTTGCTGTGCAGGAAACAGACAGTACCGAAGAAGCTGTAACAAGACATACGCATGCCAGATGGTGGGAGTAAACCCCGTTAAAGTCCAGGAGCCTGACACCTACATGAGGGTTCTGGGGTCCAACATTCTAGGGCACACTTGGATATTGTTTCTATCGTGACGGACAGCTGGCACTGCCTTCCAAAGGGCAGAGGCAGCAACAGAGCTGCAAGGATTGGGCTTTTCTTCTCCGTGTGTGTCATCCTCTGGACAAGGATGCCACGAGGTCACTTGCATTCCACAAACCTAGAATAGACTCGCAGGTCCAGGCCACCACCTGCAAAGAAAGAAGTACAACATTTAGTGGGCTTCTCTGGATTTTGGAAGTGAGGCACCTGCCTCCCCCTCACCTTTGTGTATGATGCTCTGTGCATTTTTACTGACTCATCTGTAAAGCCGCTGATTTTGAGTGGGCCCCAGGCAAGAAAAGCTCCACAGGAAGTCTAGGCTGCTGTGCTAGCTGCTCTGCCACTGGGGCATCTAATGATCCTCAAAGTGACCGTGACAGATGGAGCTGCTGTGGAACGTGTAGCAAGTCCCCATAGCATGGACCCTCAGGGTACTGGAGTCAATCTTTGCACTCTTCTGAAGATAACTGTTCTCCACGGGCATCAAGTCTCTATGACACATCAGCTGCCCATCCTAAGCCGGGTGTTATCTGATCCACTGAGCCATAAAGTTGACTGTGTGTGGCAGTAATTTGTCATTGAGTAGAAGTGATGTATACAAGTCTGTACTCCAGCAGGCCCTGAAAGCTCGCATGCAGTGCATGTGCAAGTGGCTCGCATCACCCGAGCACCTGCCCCTTCCTTCATCGCTGCTGTCCTCTTCGCTCACACTAACGGCCTCCCTATGTGTGAGGCTCCCTATGACCAGTCAAATGAGCAAGAGAAACTAAGTCCTGATTTATAGGTAGCCCTACCTGATATTCTGGCGCCATCTGGAAGTGGACTTCTGCAGCATTTCAGCCCTACTCAGGAGTGTCGCTGAAAAACTGCAAGGAAGGGAAATCCTCCCAGCTGCCAGAACTTGGAACAGCCCATGCTTGCCCGCTCTGCCCGCTGGGCAGACGGATGTCCAGAGGTGAAGACGTACGTTGATTCACAGGCAGCATCTAACAGATTGAACAGATGATCAGGTAAATGGAAAGAACAGGATTAGAAATTTGGGAAGTAAGGATGCACTCAAAGACAGCTCAGCCCCTATCCTGAGGGGCCCGCTGGGATCAGCTGGGAATGCTGGACCCATTGATTCGGTCAGTAAACGCTCTAGGAGGGACAATACAGCAGTGAATACATGGATCCAGTCCCCACCTTCCAGGGGCACCACATGGTAAATATCAAATCGTGGCTGTTCTCGGATGTTCACGCTTCAGCTCATTTAATCTTCGCATGTGCCATCTATCAGGATGAACTACTCCGTTGCCGTGTTGTACACAGGTGAGTAACTGAGGCTCAGGGAGGCTGAGTGACCTGGCCAAGGTGCAGGTGGGATTTGCACTCATTTCTCTCTCACTCCAGATCGTGTGTTCTTAATCACCATGACAAAGACAGGAAATGAAATCAAGCCTCATGTTTCCCAGGGCTGTTGAAAGAACCTTTCCATGGGTGCCCAGTGAATGCGAGCCTTCTGGTACCTCTCAGTTCATATGCAGCTGACCATGGAGGAATCAGCACTTGCTGAGTCCTGATTATGAGCCAGGGGCTTCCTGGTGCACTCTCCCATTCACCCACCCAACATCATCTCTGTTTTATAGAAGAGAAAATAGAGGCCCAGACAGTGCCTGAGGTTAGACAGCAACCAAGGGACAGAGGTAGCAACAGAGCTGCAAGGATTGGGCTTTTCTCCTCCTTGTGTGTCATCCTCTGGACAAGGATGCCACGAGGTTACTTGCATTCCACAAACCTAGGATAGACTCGCAGGACCGGGCCACCACCTGCAAGCCCTCCAGGACTGCGCCCCTGCTCATGGCCATCACCCTTGCTCTTACCCACAGCACTCTGGTCACTGGTCTCTTTGCTGATCCTCTTGTCCTTCCTTCAGAACACTCCCCTTGCCTCCCACCCCACACCTCCACGCGTCTCATTTCTCACTTCATTCAGGTCCCTACTCAGATAGGACATCCCCTAAAAGGCCTTCCCTCTATGAGATCTAAAACCCATCCTCTCCTTTTATGCTTTATTATTCTTCACAGCTCCTATCAATAATTAATCATAAATAAGTAACCGTTTATGTGCTCATTGAATATATTTTCCTTCTCTTACGTCGCGTTCCCCCAAGAGCAGAACTTGAGAGAAAAATACAGGAGTATTTGTTTGGGAGATGCAGGCAGGTCTAGAGGGGGAGGAAGGAAGTGAGCGAGAGAAGAGGAGGATGCACAGTTAAGCTAGCTACCACAGTGGGCAGCTGGAGTACATCCCACTGGGGATCCTGAGAACCATCCTGCCTGAAGGGCGAAGGGGCTGGGGCATGTATGCACCACCTCTTGAGAGACATTGGTCAGGAGCTGCTCCCGGCTCAATTCCCTGGGACTCTGGCCAACTGGCCATCCGAGGTTCTGGAAGCAGCCTTCTCTAGAGGATTCCAGAAGCTAGCCATCCTGCTCCAGCCCTTCTCAGGATTCTTGGGCACAGTCAGGTACAATGGAATGAAGCCACAGGGAGCGCCGGAGTGTGAGGTGCCTGGAGTCTGAGGTTTAGGAGAGGGGAGATGCAGGCAGAAGTCAAACCTACACCCGCAAGTGGATCTGGGGGTCCCCGTCCAGCAGTGGAGCCGGCAACAGCCAAAGTTCTCTCCACCTGTCACCCAGAGGTCTGTTGCGGACTTTTATGGGGTTTCCACCAAATCAGGGGAGTTGAAGTAGATGACCCTACGGCCTCCTTCCCCACCTTCCCCAGCGTGTATTGTGGCCTCTGGACACATTCCAAGCTCCCCTGGGAGCTGGCACCTTGTGTCCCCGCCATACCATGGGCTCCTCCTGGGCAGGCCTGAGTCTCTGCTGTTCTCATTTCTGTTCCTTCCAAACCACCTTGCAGTGTGGGCCCGACCAACCTGGAGTAAGGCCTGGTTATCGCAGGTCCCCACAGCCTCTTCCAATGTGGCCTCTTCAGGATTTTGACAGCCGTGCTCCCAGGACTGCGGTGTTTGTGTGAGAGTGTGTGTGCATGCACACATGTGTGCATCTGTGTGTTTGTGTGTGTATGTCTCTGTGTGTCTGTGTATGTGTGTCTGTGTGTGTCAGTGTCTGTGTGTGTGTGTCAGTGCATATGTGTCTATGTGTGACTGTGTGTCTGTGTGTGTATCTATGTCTGTGTGTATGTGTCTGTGTGTGTGCATCTATGTGTGTGAGTATGTGTCTGTGTGTGTGTGTCAGTGTGTGTCTATGTGTGACTGTGTCTGTGTGTGTATCTGTGTCTGTGTGTGTGCGTCTATGTGTGTGTGTGTCTGTGTGTGTATGTGTGTGTGTGTCTATGTGTGACTGTGTGTGTGTGTATCTGTGTCTGTGTGTATCTGTGTGTGTGCGTCTATGTGTGCATGTGTCTGTGTGTGTCTGTGTGTCTGTGTGTGTGTGTCTGTGTGTGACTGTGTGTGTGTGTCTATGTGTGTGTGTCTGTGTGTGTCTATGTGTGTGTGTCAGTGCATGTGTGTCTATGTGTGACTGTGTGTCTGTGTGTGTATCTGTGTCTGTGTGTGTCTGTGCGTGTGCATCTATGTGTGTGTATGTGTCTCTGTGTGTGTGTGTCTATGTGTGACTGTGTGTCTGTGTATCTGTGTCTGTGTGTGTGTGCGTCTACGTGTGTGTGTGTCTATGTGTGTCAGTGCATGTGTGTCTATGTGTGACTGTGTGTCTGTGTGTGTATCTGTGTCTGTGTGTATGTGTCTGTGTGTGTGCGTCTGTGTGTGTGTGTGTGTGTGTGTGTGTGTGTGTGTGTGTGTGTAACAGAGCAAGAAGGATCTGAAGGCACAGCCCCAGCATCCAGCAGGGGCATCCAGACGGCCCCTCCCAGACCCCCGGTCCTATCTCCTCCTGATTCTGAGCTCCGGAGATGAAAAGGTACATAGGAGAGGGGAGCTCCCCCAATCCACAGACCAGGCAGCCCTGGAGCTGGGATGGGACCCCAGGACCCCAGACTCCCCTCCCAAAGGGCCACCATGACAACCCGCTGGCCCCACTTGCCCAGCAGCCCTCACACCGCCTCAGACACAGGTCAGGGCGTCATCTCTAAGTGTGTGCCTCCTCCATGCTGGGGCGGCTGTGTTCTCTTAAATAACTTAACTATGAAGGGGAGGATAGAATTAGGACACACAAGAGAAGCCCATGCCTTGTGAGATGAGGCGCTCCACCCTCCTACCTTCCTTGTCAGCTCTCAGACTAATTCAAAGTAATTAGATGTTCCATAGTTCTCTTTTATACATTTCAATAAATGTTTATGAAAACCAATTGACATTTTCTATATTTAATGTATAATAACTAGTCTTATAAATCTAAATTATCCCTATAAATCTAAATTAAACACCCAGGTTTACATGTATTCAGGACACCTAATTAATAAAGCACTGGCAATAACCATTACTAACCTGTTTACTTCGAGCTGACCTTCACTTTCACAAGATGTTTCTGTGCTGTGTGTGGTGGGAAGGAGGGAGCACAGGGTCTCTGGGCAGTTTGCTTGTGGTTGTCAGCCTTTTCCAACTTCATGGCGCCCTCCAGAGCTGCCTAGGCCTTTTTGTGTTCGGCTTCCTCCAGGCTTTGGGTCATCTCCCTGCCCAGGATGGAGAAGGAGGTGGCCAGAGCGGCCTGCAGGTGAAGGCGTAGGTAGGAATCTAGAGGCCTGGCTTGGCCACTAATGTGCTGTGTGATCTCGGGCAATTCACTTACTCTCTCTGGACTTCAATTTATTCTTCTTCATAATAAGGCAAAGACAAGGTCATCGTGAGGGCCTTTTCACCAGCTGTGGGGAGAGAGTCTTGGGTGGGGGGAGGTTGATCCATGACATATGAGCAGTGTGACCTTAGGCAAGTGATTTAACCTCTTTGTGCCTCAGTTTCCTCATCCATACACTGGGGACAGTAAGAGCACCTACCTCACAGAGCTCTGTGATATGCCTAGTTCAGGACCTGATAGCTGAGACCCTGTGGGGTCAGCTGTGGTTATTCTCCCAGGGCGGCCATTGTAAAGGTTGTCAGATCCGATGGCGGATTTATGGGGAGGGATGGGACAGCAGGAACAACGTGGGATGGGAACACCAGTGGCCAGAGCTGCAGGGAAGCGTCAGGGGATGGAGGGGCTTCTCTGGGCTGAGTCCCCCAGAGGACAGAAGGCCCTGCCCCTGCCCGGCCCCCAGGGTTGGTCCTCTGATGTCAGACCTGTTAGAACACGAGTTGGGTCTCTTGAGAGAGAACAGTGTCGGGGAAGCTCGGCCTCTAAGTGACGCACCCATTCCTACATGTCACTGAGCGCCCAGCTGCGTGCGGAGCCCCAAGGTCTGCACCAGGTCACCCTCCACCTCCCCACCCTTAACCACCCACAGCCAAATGATCACCAGCTTGGGCTGGGCCCTTCCCTCATCCTGGCTGCCCCCACCTTAGTCCCCAGAACTGTCAGTCACACAGGCCATGGTGAACACCAAGATCTCCTCACAGCCCAGGCTCCACCTCCCCACAGTCGACCCCTTGCCCAACTCTCCCTACAGCTCTCCTCCCTCTCAACCTCTCCCACTACAGCACCCCCTACATTCTACCTCTGCTGCAGCCCACCTGACACTCCACCCCTTCCCCAACCTACCCTTCCCCCCACTCCTCCCCCAGCCCTCCCTTCCCTCCACCCCTCCCCCAGCCCACTTCCCTCCACCCCTCCCCCAGCCCACCTGACACTACACCCCCTCCCCTACACCAGCTCTCCACAGCCCACCCCATGCAGCCGTGTCCCTGGGCTTGGTGCATCTCACACCTCAGCCGCCCTCTTGGCTCCTGCTGTGATTGATATGATGCATTTGCTCTCATGTTAACTTTTATTACTTATTGATTTTTCTCTGATCTAGCTCGGCTGTGTCCATTTTTATCTGATCAAACAAGTAGAAGCCATTCAGTGGGAAAAGCAGAATTTAAAATTCC